TCCAAATGATTTTGAGTTTTGTTCCACATTGTTCTGCCTCTCTATCAAGGATCTCCTACACAGATCCCCTTAAGACTGTAATCTTTACATAAGCAGGCTGCCACATACTTCTCCTGAGTGGCTGGTGGATTTGAACCACTGACCATATATAGTCAGCAAGTCAGTGCTTAACCACTGAGATACCAGGTCTTCTTAAAGTTACCATAAACTAAACCATGGTTTTGCCATCAAATTACTTCTAACTCATAGTGACCCTACAGGGCAGAGCAGAACTGCCCCATAGGGTTACCAAGGCTGTAATATTTATAGAAGCAGATACCACATCTTTCTCTTGTAGAGTGGCTGGTGGGTGTGAACTGCTGACCTTTCAGTTAACAGTAAAGTGATTTAACTACTATACCACCAGAGCTCCTTTAGAGATATTATACGACCTAGAAATTCCACTCTCAGGTATCATCCCAAGAGTCCACAGAAAAATGTGTTTACAACTGTTCACAGAAACATTTTTCATAATAGCCCCAAAATGGAAGCAAGTCAAATACTCATCAACTAATGGATAGATAAACAAAATGTGGACTGTCCAGATAATGGAATATTAGACAGCAATAGAAACGAAGTAACGATAGATGCTACAACACAGATAAACCTCAAAAGTATGCTAATAAAAGAAGCCAGTCACAAAAGACAACATACCATATGAATTCACTTATATGAAACATCCAGAACAAGCAAACCCATAGAGTTGGAAATAATTAGTGAATGCCTAAGGAAAGGAGAAGGAGCTCTGGTGGCATGGTAGCATTTGACTGCTAACCAGAAGGTTGATAGTTCAAATCTGCCAGCCACTCCGTGTAAGGAAGACTGGGCAATGTATTTCCGTAAAGATTTACCACCTTAGCTATGTGTTGGAATTGACTTGCTGGCAGTGAGTTTTTTTTGGAAGGAAAGGATACGGGGAAAGGCTAATTCATGTAAGATTTCTTTTTAGGGTTGTCAAAATGTTCTAAAATTGGAATATGGTGATGGCTGTA